GGACACTAGAGAGAATGCAGCTTTAACACATGAAGCTCTGACTTCACTTTTTTGCCGCCTGATAGCTAGCGAGCTGTCTGCTAATTAGCTAGTTGGCTAGTTTGACTCTGAAAGAGTCTGTTGTTGTTCATCTCAGCTTGATTTAAACTTTCCTAAACACAGTGTGATTGTAATAAACCTCCCCTGGTGCATGCTGGGATACACCTCGACTGCTTCAGTCTGGCAGAGACACAAAGACGATGCTGCTCAGCGCCGACATGTTTGTTAACTCGTGTTAAACACTCAGCTGAACAGCTTCACTTCCTGCAGCGAAGTCTCTCCCGAATGTTTAAATGTTTAATCAGCAGGAAGCTCTCTGCTCCAACCTGCAGTCATTCAGTTGTTCTACTTCTGGAACGATTCCACTGAGGTCTTAATCACCCGGGAGGGTCACAAACACTCAGCATGTAAACAAGCGAGGAAGCTTCGGTAAAAAGAAAAAGCAGCGGAGTCAGGAGGGAGCTGTGTTTTTCTCTGCAGCAGCGCTTCCAATCAGATGATTGTTTTTGTTGGTTCACGTCGTCTCCGGAGGAAACTACAGAATGCACTTTGTGTTAGTGCATTTACAATGATCCCCTCTAGAACCCGCTGAAGTTTATTTTAGGGAAGGAAAAGCTATATTTCTAAATATGGTAAAGTGTCGGTTTTTCCTTCATGATAAATATATTTATTCATCCAGTTTTTTGGGACATAACGTGTTCTTAGATTAGATGAATTAGTTACGTAACCAGAACCAGGACTGAGAGGGCAGACTGTCAGACCTGATACAGTAACATGAGAGGTTTTCTAAAGAGTCTGGTGCTCAGAGACACTACCACTTTAGTCCACAGGGGGCGACAGAATCAACACAACATGAAAGTTAATTGTAGTACCTTTAAGGATTCAAGATGGTCCTTTAAAACACATGCACTCAGAGGAATAAAAGCATGAACTATAATATACACCTGGTTTACTAATCAGATATTTGTATTAATTTTGCTTATCGAAGCTGTTTCGACAAAAACAAGTAAATACATTTGACAATTACCTCTCGTCTCGTAAAGAGAGAGCCACAAAGACGTTTAAAATAACGTTAAATAATAAAATGTTTTGTTGTCATCAAGGTACCACCTACCAGGTGACGTCAGTTAGTCCCTGAGGGTTCAGGCTTTAGGGGGACGTTGGGATTGGACCTTTGTTTTCACAAGCAACACGAACATCTGCCTCCTGTGTGAAAGTCCTGTGTTCGTTTGAATCATCAGCCACAACTCCCACCACTCACCCGACGCAAACTTTCTCTCTCTGTATGACGCATAGGTGTGTTTACATCGGAGCGACGCATCTCATTCAGGCTCTGTATTAGTATAGACCGGACAAAACTATGTGTATAAATTAGTGCTGGGCAACGATTACAATTAATCGCGATTAATCGCATTGTTATGTCAAAGTTCAATAATGAATTCAAAAGTAGTGTATTGTGCACTTTTATTTTGAAAGTGCTGCTATATGAACTAAAGGTGAATAACATTGTGTGTAAACACTTTAAACACATCAGGCTGTTGTTAGCAGCAGTGTTCTCTTCACACAGCAGCAGTTCTATCTCTTCACTATCTGTGCTCAGTGTGTGACTGTGTGTGAAACGTTCCACTGCTGTGCAACAGGAACAACATGTTCCACACGTTCCATCTACATGTGTGTGTTGTGTCTTCATGACAGTCAGAGCATGTGATGCAGCTCTACTCTTCATCACTATGATGCTGTAACTCAGAGGTGATGAAGGTGACCCAGCTCTACTCTTCATCACTATGATGCCGGAACTCAGAGGTGATGATGGTTACCCAGCAATCAAAGAATAAAGACACTTTACGCACAATTTAGGTGTATTTTCCCTTTAACTCACGAGATGCAGGTAGCATGTTTTATACTTAATGTGAATATAATTCATACTTTGTTGGCATCTTATTCTGAAAACCGGATGTTCGTCTGAAGAAACCGGATGTTGTCTCACGTTAACTTTCCGCTAGCATGTAAGTGTCTGCTGAGTTGACCACAGTGATGTCCAGTAGTCTCCATTCCTCCACCGCTGCCAGTGAGCAACGGACTTTCAAAATAAAAAAAAATTAAAAAATGTGTTAACGCGCTATAAGATAATTGTCGCCGTTAATTAATGAATGCGTTAACGCGATAATAATGCGTTAACTTGCCCAGCACTAGTATAAATGTGTGTAAACCATACAGTACAAACTATGACACGCTGCCGTATCTACACCTATATGACGTTATGTTGAGTGGTGATTGGAGCTGCTACAATGTTAGCATAGCATAGCACCGATCAATCCAAACTCCATTCAGAAAACCAGCATTTAAAAGTCATTTACTTGTCGTCTTGTGGAGAGAACTAACAAAACATGAATCCAGACTTTTTACAGGTCGGCATTATTATGTAGTTGTTTCTGCATCTTTTTTGATCCGTTTATTGCAGTTAAATCAGTTTATTTTGGGTTCAGACAGCTGTAGTAAACCAGCCAATGTGTTCGCTAGCCGACTAACTGATGCTGGTCTCTGATTGGTCGCCGTGTCTCCAGGTAGCCATCGACTTCACGGCGTCTAACGGAGATCCTCGAAACAGCTGCTCTCTGCACTACATCCACCCGTACCAGCCCAATGAGTACCTGAAGGCCCTGGTGGCCGTGGGGGAGATCTGCCAGGACTACGACAGGTGGGTCTGAGTCACAGCGCAGCAGCCAATCAGAGGAGTCCATTCATTAAAGGGACAGTACACTCAGAACGACAACCTGAGCTTCTGTTCCTGTAACTAAATGTTTTATTCAGATAGAGAAGCGCTGATAGAACAACACATCTCCTCTCATGCTCTTAGTTCTACCTTCTTTGTCTTCTTGTATTTGGGTTTTTGAAGCTGCCAGGTTTCATTTCTTCTGGCTGAGAGACTGTTCAAACCTTCAGGCTTCACTTTTATAATGTCACAGCTTTAGAAAGGTTGTACTTTATTCTCAGTGAATAGAAAAACCCTGAAGATCTTTCTGTCTGCAGGGTTCAGTTTGAGGAACTCCTGTAGTGTATTTAAGTGTTTCCTCATACATACGTACCAATCAGAGACAAACGTTACTCCTCATTTATTGTTCGTTTTCCTTCGAAAGTCCAGCAACACGTGTCAATTTCTGCTCGTTACATGAATACAGTCTTTTCAAAATCAACTTCTGTCTTCACAGGAAACAGCTTAGTTAGGTTTAGTTAAAAAGATCATTAAAATAATCACAGAAGTGCCGTTACTGACGTACGCAAGTTACATGACAAAAACTTCTTGTTTCACACGAGGAACAAACTATTTTTATAGAAATGATTCTGTCCCAAGCTTTTTGATCTGGACATCAATGAGACGATCCGAGCAGGAAGTCATCAGCTGACGCTCTCACAGCCAATCAGAAGTCATTTCTGTGCTTTGTGTTGAAGTAGCGGCCGGTCTGAATGAGCTCGTTAACTCAGCAGCCAATCACAGACCCTCGTTTCCATTTTTACTCTCTGACTTTCTTTTCTTTCTTTTTTCTTCACTCAGTGACAAAATGTTCCCGGCGTTTGGCTTCGGAGCTCAGATCCCTCCTGACTACAAGGTAATGTCCCAGCATGCTCTCTGTTTTCAGGGGGGGGGGGGGCTCTGGTAATTACCAGCCGGCCTCCTCCTCGTCACCCCGGGGTGCTGCTCCTTCACTTCTCTTCCCATGATGCCTTGCGGCATGCTGCTTGTCTGATGCTGATTATTTCCATTCAATAAGCTGCAAACTCTGCGTTTCAACGTCCGAGTTGTTGAAGAGCAGGAATTCAAAGTGAGATCTTGTGACTTCAGAACAAAAGAGAAAAAACAACTCTTTGACCAACTTTTTCTTTTGTTTCGTTGCTTTCAGCCTTTTCTTGAACGCTAGCTTATGGTGGCTAATGTTAGCAAACATAATAATTATAAATAATAAGAGGTATATAAAGCTACAACATACAAACTATACAAGAGTAATTAAAGTGACAGTTTACACCAAAATATGAAAACCTCAGGATTGAGTAAAAACACTTTTAATGTAGAAATATAACAAAGGCCTATTATATAATTTAATAAAACAGTAAAACATATTAACATAATAAAGTACAGGATATATGAAGTGACATATAGTACTGTAGTAAAACATTATATATGTATAGTACAGCAATATAACAGACAAATACAATAAAGTATGAGTTTAATACCATTTATAATAATTAATACATTAATTTACTTGTTTAAATTTTAATATTATTATTATCATCATTATTAATATTATTTTTCCATATTCTGATTCATATTTTAATTGTTTATTTTTATTTATATATTTTTTGTGTTATTACCATTTATTTACTTATTTATTAATTGAGTTACTTTTATTTATTTGTATTTATTTATTTATCTTCCTCTGAAGTGAAATACCAACACATGCCTCTGTTCACAGTTATTCATTTATTAATCATTCACAAATCTTCCCCATATTATAATCATAAGGTGTTCATGTTTTGTTTATTTTATTAAAGCTTTATCGGTATAATCCGTCTCCTGTTTGTACAAAATAAAACATAAATAACAGAGAAACTAACAAGAGTCACTTCACTGACTTTATTCTTTATTTACTTCATAAATAAACATTTCAATTCATTCATTGATCGGGTAGTTCATATTAACCATGAGCATAAAAATAAGATACAAAATCTCCTGGGGGGGCCAACTGCTCCTATTACACGTCAAGAAGAAGAAAATTATGAAGAGGAGGAAGGTGAGGAGAGAGAGAGAGAGAGGGGGGGGGGGGGATGATGTCATTGTTTTTTTTTCTGATGATGAGATCAAACAGACTTCCTGTATCTCCCCTCTCTCTCTCCCTCTCCTCCTCCTCCTCCTCTTCCTCCTCTTTCCTCCTCCTCCAGGTCTCCCACGACTTTGCAGTGAATTTTAACGAGGAGAACCCAGAGTGTGCAGGTAGGAGCTTTAATTTTCTCGTTCTCTTTGAAAAAGAGAATGATATAAAAAGAGTCAAATGTTTGATATTGAGCTTCAGAAGTCAGAGAAACTCTTTGATCCGAGAATCAGTTTGGTGATGACGAGGCGGCGGATCGAAGGAGCTCCGTCAGTCAGAGGAGGTGAAGGAGTCCGATGAACTCCTTTAAAGCTCCACTCAGTGTGAAAATTGACTTTTTTTTATCATTTTAATTAATTGCTAAATTGAGAAACTATGAAGCTGATTCACTGATGATAAAAACATTCAGCTAACTCTATTAGATACACAATCTTATTCCATTTAGTTAAAGTTATAAAGTTATTTAATTGTCAGATGAAATTAAGTTTTTTAAGTAAAAATTTGAATTCAAGACATAAAATACTGCAGAATTAAAATGTAGAGAAATAATATATGCAAAATATAATAATGTAAATTAGTGGAATTAACTGGAATGTAGACAAGGTTTTGCCATGTGTAGCTTAGCACAAAGACTGGAAGCGAGGGAAACTGTTAGCCTAGCTTAGCACAAAGACTGGAAGCAAGGGAAACTGTTAGCCTAGCTTAGCACAAAGACTGGAAGCAGGGGGAAACTGTTAGCCTAGCTTAGCACAAAGACTGGAACCAGGGTGAAACTGTTAGAGAGAGAGAGAGAGAGAGAGAGAGAGAGTTCAGCTGAAGGTCTCTCGCCCTCTCGGCTGTAAATGTCATTGATGAGCTCAGAGAGACACTTTTAATTAAGACTCTGTGTGTGTGTGTGTGTGTGTGTGTGTGTGTGTCTGAAGGAAGGAGACACTAAACCACACCACTGCTGCCGCCGAGCATGCTGGGACGCCTCTAAACACATTCAGAGAGACACGGAGTGAACCTGACTGGTCCTCCAGAGTCTGGTTGTGTTTGTGGAGGAAACATTGGAACCATTAAAAAGATTTAATGTTCAGGAATGTGTCAAAAAAGATAGAAAATTATCAGAAGTTTTCTCAAAATCAGGGATGTTTTTCAGATTCCTGTGTTTGAGTGAATTCATGTTTGTGCTTCTTGACTCTGATGTATGTTTGCTGTCAGGTATCCAGGGCGTGGTGGAGGCCTACCAGGCCTGCCTCCCCAAACTGCAGCTCTACGGTCCCACCAACATCGCCCCCATCATCCAGAAGGTCGCCAACTCCGCCTCGCAGGAGGTCCACACCAAAGAGGCCATGGTGAGATGTAGCCCCGCCCCCTAAAGCATCCCATGCTTTATGGTCAAAAAAAACTAAAGACTTCATGATGAAAAGGCGTTTTCATTCCTCAGCTTGATTGACAGATGGTTCGCCCAATCACCTGACAAGTACTTATTGAGTATCTGAGAGAGAGTGAGTGGATAAGTGACATTGTTTCAGCAAATAACAAAACAACTGCAACAACTCTGGTGGAATTTATTCACCGTTCGTCTTCAGCCAGTTTGAGATGGTGGAGAGTGAAACAGCCTGAAAACAGAAATGTCAAATACATGAAAAATTAAAGAAAAGAAAAACATAACTGCACTTCTTTTGGTCTGAGTTACTTTATAGTCATGTTCGGTTCACTTTTGACGTTTTGAGAGCAGATGTGAAGTTGGTTTGATGCATCGCAAAACATTTTAAATACAGCAGGTGCATCTAGAAATTCACCATTGACGTCTATTATTTATTTTTTGTCTTTTTCATGTTGTGATTTTTTTGATTTTAGCTTCATATTTGTGATTACGTAAAAGATCCTCTTTGACATATCTTATATAGTTATATAGTCAATATTATATTTTCAGTTAATTTTTTAAAGATAAAAAATATATATGTTAACTACGTCAACCTGAGAACCTTCGATTGTTTTTACGATGTCTCGCAGCAATACTTTATCCTGCTGATCCTGACGGACGGCGTCATCACCGACATGGCCGACACGAGGGAGGCCATCGTCCAGGCCTCCCACCTCCCGATGTCCGTCATCATCGTTGGCATCGGGAACGCCGACTTCAGCGACATGCAGATGCTGGACGGCGACGACGGGATCCTGCGATCGCCCAAAGGAGAGCCCGTCCTCCGGGACATCGTCCAGTTCGTCCCCTTCCGCAACTTCAAACACGTGAGTCTATCGGATGGACTTAAAAAACATCTGTTTCCAGTTCAACACAGATGTTCATTTGTCTAGCCGGCAGTGACTTTCTTTGTTGCTGTCTTTGTCCTAGAGTTCTTTTCTACAGAGGAGTTCCACAAGGAGCGATTTTAGGTCCTTTATTGTTTCCTATTTTCAAGATTCTTTGTTCCTTGTGGGACACAATATTATTTTCTGTTGCTAGAGACTGTCCCCTAGGATGCCGCTGTTGGCGTCCTTTGCACAACTGAGTCAACGCTGCCTCGATACTTTACTAAAGCTAAGCAGGTAGCTTTGAGGCCAAAAGGTCCCGACCAAGCGTCTGCAGGTGACGGGTTGGGAATGAGAATGGGTCGATATCGAACTAAACTAGACAATCAAATAGAAGATGAGATCAACACAAAGACAAGAACAAAATGACAGTTAATACACCATTTGTTGTTGATTTTGACTCTAGCTAGCATCGCGTTTCCAGGTATTAGTCAAACCCACAGGGTTACCAAGGAATCGTTTTGGCAGCAAAAGGCATGAAAATATAATTTAATTGTTTTCATTTTTGGGGGGGGCATTGGAAAGTGACCGTGGTATTAGTGGGATATGGAGGTGTCCTTTATCAGGAATTAATGGACTTTGAGGACCCTGAACGTATTCAAGTGGTCCATTAATTCATGATAACGGACACCTCGACGGGCATCATCTTAACACATAGTATGTAAGTCTGTGCTAACCTCAGTGACAATGTCATTATGTTCCTACAGCTGCTTTACAATGAGTTGTAAATGCAATGCTTTTACTGTGAAAGGAGAGCAGCAGGAAGTAATTACCTTCAATCAGCAATAAGTGAAAACAATCTACAAAACAAATGACCTTTTAATTAAAATGAGCTACGATTGACTTTGTGGCCCTCGTTGTAGTCAAGAACAACATCATCAGTGGGAGGTGGACCAAAAGAATAATTTCCTCATTTTGTTATAATCTGTTGTTCCTCGCTGTTGAAGCACTTGTTGTTTTCCCTGTAAATGAAGTCATTATTATGTACATGTTCAGCTGTTATCAGGCGCTAAAAGCCTCTAAGTATGGGCAGCAGATGGTGTGTTACTGTGAAAGATGTCTTCTTGATATAACATGATACAGTGTGTGTGTGTGTATAAATAACTTTGTCTGACCCCCAGAAATATTGGAGCTGTGGATGACTGTGAGAGCAATAAGCCAAGAAGAGGAGTGTTGAATCTGGATCAGAGCGTATTGGAAGTGGAGGAGGACGGGAGTGTGAAGTTATTGAGGAAATTAGATTTTCACATTTTAAGAAAAGGAGACGAGGTGGCAATCTGCCAAGCAGTCATAAGTGGGAAATAATTTATTTCTCTCAAAATGAATTTCAAGTCTTTAACAAGGTTACAGGCTCTACTGTATCTCCTCAGTTTGGACTCATTTTTACAGACACTGGGTATATTTCTTCCCTCCTGGGTTTAATCTGTGTGATGAAAGAGACTTTCTGTCTGTGGACCAAAATGAAGCAAATTCTCATTTGACAGCAGCAGAACGAGGCCGAGACTCTCTAACTGCTGCTGTCTGGGATTTCTCCCAAAAGTAGAATCCACTCTGCCATATAGTCCGTACAATATCTATGTTTTCATTTTGTGTGCATATATTTATGGGGCTGAATCTCTATATTAGTAGTTACTAATCTTGTACGTTCCTCTCTGATCTGTTACAAGGCAGCAACTCATTTCAGGTTATTTCCAATAAAATAAAACAACCGCAGATCGATCATCTCTAACAGTCGAATATTAGTCAATTTGATTTATTGCATTGTTAAATAGGTTGAATCATCGCCCTGTTTCATGGTGAACAGAAACCTCTCTGGACAACAAAGACACTGATTATTATAAAGCAAACAGTAAGGACACATTAGGTAGTGACAGCCAAGTCCTGAGGCTGACGCGAGAGGGGTTTATCCTCTGGGGAACTAGAATGGGCTCAGGAAATATTGCAGCTATCACAAAGAACGGATTATTGTCCGAAATATTTGCATGGATACATTTATAAAAAACTGATTTTGTGCAGGTTTTTATGAATGTTTTTAAACCACTGCAGAACTTTTGTTGGGGAAAAAAATACTCAGATTTCAGCTGATTTCAACCTGAGGAAATATGTTTAGCTGATGAAATACTTTGTTCCAACCGACGTCATTAAAAGTATTGTTCTGCATAATAATCATTCATGTACTTCATGGCAAGAGGGTGTTTTTTTCAGAACAATGGCCGTTTGTTTTCAGGGTAACAAACTGTTCAATGGGACATTTTTCGGACTATTGTTGTCTCTGAATGTTGGGCCTTCAGCACAATGTCTTCCCCTTCTCGACACCCAATAATGTACGACAATCACCATGACAGCGACTCCAACAACCAAATAAAAAGGACAATACACCCTGAGATAGCCCAGCAGCGGCTGATACGTACTTGCCAACGTTAAATACGTCCGTCACGGAACAGGGGGGCTAGCCAGAACAGCTAACGTTAGCGTTAGCATCAAATTTGGTGTCTGTTTAGTTCTTCTCGTCAGCCTTTTGTCCTGCAGCTCCTTGTGTTCCCATGGCCTGATTGGATGTATAATCCCCCCAGTGAGCTTTAGATCAGCTTTGAGATGTCCACCCAGCTTGGACATGCTCATGAAAACCTCCACGGGGGGAATCCAGATCAGTTGAATCCTGAATCACCTCAACTGGGTCATTTGGACACGAAGGAGCAGTGGTTCTCCTTCCAGATGTCTGAGCTCTGCCAAGTAAACTAGTTTCAACCTCTTACAGCCACAATCTAATTATTTTTTTCTTTTCATCCTTATTATTAGGTCAGCCGTATATCCGTATATCGAGAACTTGATCTCGAGGCTCATATTCCTCTACAGTCGATACAATACCTGCATCTCTGCTGACGCCACTCCAATCTGTCTCATGCTCCATGTTCCTTTTGTTCTTTAACAAGTTCCCCCAGAATACTGAACCTCCTTTGGAGAACCACTTCCTGAAAGAGAACCTTTGGCTCAGACTCCGAGGTGCTGACTTCTCATTCCAGCCGCTTCAGACTCGGCTGCAAATTGTTGAATATCCAGAGAAAGAAAATTGCGATCTGAAGTGAAAAGTTAAAGTTAGACTGACACCTCTGTCCTCATAAAACCACCATTGTTGCTGTTTTCAGCAGCCAACTCAAAGCATCTATAAAGTGAGAATTTTAGAGAACAGTTCTTGCTTACAACTTGATTATTGTGATGGATCTGCAGAAGGTTTACTCTCTGCAGTTTGATTTTCACCATGTACAGTAATGAACTGGAACAAATGGCTGTCTGGAACAAAGAAAGTCTTAAAAACCCTGATGGATGATGGGAAAATTTGAATGTGAAGGGGATTCATGATAAATTGTCTATAAAATGTGAAACCATGACAATAATCCTTCAAATAGGAACCTAGAATGTTTGTCCTGTTCATTCCAACGCCTGTTTTTCTCAGAGACGAACACTTGAATGAGCAGCCTGTCTCCTGTTTGTAGATTGAACCACATATCCAGCATGATTTTCCTTCTGTCTCCTCCTCAGGCGTCTCCAGCTGCTCTGGCTAAGAGTGTGTTAGCAGAGGTGCCCAACCAGGTGGTTGACTACTACAACAGCAAGGGCATCAAGCCCAAAGTGCCCAGCCAGTACCAGTCTTCCAGGCAGTTCGGCCCCTGAGCGCCGCCGCCCCTCCCCCACCCTCAGACAGCACAACCTCTCCCAGACTGAGAATAATGTTTACTGTCTTTTGTTCTTTGTTGATGCGCATGTTAAAGGTGCTGCATGCAGCATTTTGCCACGAGGAAGGGGCTCATTTAAAGATTTGATCAGACTCCACACTGCATTTTACGTTGGGAGGGATTTTACAGGTTGGACCAATAGGAAGTTCTGATGGATTGCTTTATGGCACAAAAAAAAAAAGAGTAGCGTAGCAGGTGCAGGTGCTGGTTACAGTGGTTTACCAAAACAGTCAAAGTAGCTGAGGAGCAACAATTCAAAGAGCGATGTGATAAAACGTGTGCTTTCCGTAACGAGGGGAGCGGCGTGTCCTGATGCAATGTAGTTCATCAAACCCTGCAATGATGCTGACGGTTTGTGGAGCTAAAGCGTGTTTTTCAAGCAAATAATTCGTGGTCGATGTGTTTCCCACTTCTAGTGTTCCTGAACACAGAAGAACAGGAAGTCTTGTTGATCACGCATAAGAACCAAGACATCGTTTTGTTTTGCAGACCTGAGTACGGGACACGAGGGGTAATACCTTAGAACTCGTATCACGTGGGGGTAACATCCTTCACGTCGTGATCCAAGTTTTACTTCCCACTAGAAAGCAGAGTTTACACTTACTAGTAGCCAATAATAGCCTGTTTTTTAAAGCACATTTGCTAGCTATGTAGCATTACTTTGGTTGAGCTTTTTTAGAATTGTAGCTAATGTTTGTGTTTCTCTTTTCTTTAATGATACTGTTTACAATGAAAGCGGCTTCTCCAGCCCGCTCTCACCAATTGGCGTATGAACAACATGGCAATTTGCAAATTCTGAAAGAGTAATTTCTTCTTAAGTTTTGCTTGTGACATGTTTTCTTGTTTTACTCAGTTTACGTTGTTATTCTAAGACCAACCATGATGTTTTACCTAAATTTCTGCTTTCACCGTAGTTTTGTTGCTTGAACGTAAAGATGATCGTGTTACTGAAACAACGTGGCGTTGAGTGACGAGTCTAAAATGCGTAGTAATGACACGTGGAAATGATGATATTTATTTATACGCCTTATCGTGATATCGGGTTAAACATTTCATTATCAGAATCAGTTTATTTCAGTGGAATTTGCCCACGGAGGCAAAGTAATCTATGCAGAGATTTCACGTAGAAGAAAGTTGCTGACTCGTGTTTGTCGTGTTGACCAATTGGAAACCGTTTTGTGTCCAAAAGTTGTCATATTTGCTTTTTCGCACCATCCAATCTTACATAATCCTCCTATGTCACAGTATTAACTGCCAAAATGTATGGTACAATCTAAACTTTAAATTATAGATACACTTAAGTCCAGTTAGCAACTTAACCAGCTAATCTGCTGACCAGAAGTTAGCTAACTAGTAGCAAGTAGGCGAGTCTGTTGAGCTGTTTTGGCTGACTAGCGTCTGCAAATTACTGTCTAGCTAGCATGTCGACAGTTATTCACCAGCCACAGTAGCTCGCCAACGAGGCCTTTAAGTAGTCACCACATCACCAGGCATTGGCGGTGCCAGTTTTCATGTGTGATTGGACACGAAACACTCGCAGCCGCCATCATGAGTCATCTAGTGAAGTCGTAGAGGTTTCTGGGAAATGAGGCAGAGTAGCACTAAAAATATCAGTGAAGTGAGGAAGAACTTCGTATCTTATCTTGTGGTCCAACTTGGGTTCAATGTGTAAAAATGCTGACTGTCGCACCTTTAGCATCCGTTGTGCATGCGGGACCTGCAGAGGCTGAGCTGATTGTAACATTCAGGAGTGTTTTTAACGGACGTTAATAGCACACAAACACACGACACTGACCAATCCAAAGGCTGCTTCCCTGCAGACAGAATGACAGGCAGGGAAACAGTCGATGACGGAATGTATGAAACCCCCCACCCCCCCTGCTGGTTTGGTTTTATAAGAGTTTATCGATATTTTGCTAAATTTCGTAAGGTTCGTACGTTGTAAAGCATTTTGGATCTCTGCCAGATGAACAAGCAAGCTGCCTTCACAGACGTCTGCATCCTCTACTGTTGTTTTTCTAAGGCGAGGCAGATGCATGAACTGTTGTTTTGCATGCAAATCTCCATGCAGGACTCCTCGGTCCTTGTGGTTTCTGTTTCCTGGTAGTGAGTAATAAGAGTAATAATGATGTTTACAATGTACCCGATGATGGCGATGTTCTACTCTGAAGCATGTTCATGTGTAAATGACAATGTGTGAGTAGATTTAAAAGCACAACCTGAGTATCCTTGGAGAGATTTTTAGACTATGGTGATAGATTTTGTTCACTTTGTGCCACAACACCTGCCCATCTCTCTTTCTGTCTTTGATTATACTGCTACTGGTTCACATTTCCTTTTATTGTTCAGTCTGGAACAATCACATCTGGCATCCGGACCTTTATAAGGGTGCAACCACATTGTTGTGAGGACATTTACTGTCAGCTTTAGACAACTTTCAGTGTAAAACTTTTTCACATCTCATCCATCCATCAATTTTCCACCACTTATGCAGATCCAGTGGCAGCAAGGTAAACAAGGTAGTCGAGACGTCCCGATTGCCAGGTGAAGGTAAGGATTCTTTGTCATCTAGATCATGGTATAGATAGAAGTGCTTAGTCAAAGACAAGTTGATTGGTTCCAGGCAGCCTTTTTTTAATGATAGGATCGGCATAAGATCTTGAAGAATCGGAAAGAAGTCCAGCTGCCTTTGACTTAGTACTTCTAGATATACTTTTCCCACATCCTCCAGCTTTTCCTGGGGGATCCCAAGGTTTTCCCAGGCCAGATGGGATAAGTGATAATGAGAACAAATTCTGGCTCTTCTCCCCTGTCCCCATCTCGTAGGACATGCTGGGGGAAAAAACTCCAGAAAGCGTCCAGGAGACAACTTAATCACATGCCATGACCATCTTAACTGGCTCCATTGAGGGAAGTTAAATAAAGCCCCTCATTTAATTCTTGCCAATGTAAACCTAAAATTCTACAGTTTGATCAAATCTTACATCAGGATCAAACTTCACAATTCATCCATCCATTTTGGGCCTTCGTCTCAATGACACAAGGGTAATAAACAAGGTAGTCCAGAAGTTCTCCCCAGCTACAACCTCCAGCTCATCCTGAGGGATTCCAAGGTATTCCTTGGTCAACTGGGATTAGCAATCCCTCAAACTAATTCTGGGTCTGCCCCAGTGTCTCAACATGAAGGAGCAGCTGCTACTCCCAGCTCTTTCTGGATGTCAAAGCTCTTTCTGAGCTCTGCACTCTCATATTCGTGTTCTCATTCTTCCGGTCGTGTCCAAAAACTCATGACCTACCGATGAGGGTTGGAATGTAGACTGGAAGAATTGAGAGGTTTGCCTTCAACCCTCACATCAATCAACCTTTGATGGATCCGGATCACGCTATGCAAAGTAGTCCCTCCCCTAAACCACGGTAGTTAAGTCTTTCTTGGAGGATCCAGAGGGGTTTTGAAGGCCTGCTGAGATTTGCAATCCCTCCAGAGTGTTCCGGGTCTACCCTGGGGTCTCCTCTCAGGTGGAAGTGCCCAGAGAACCTTCACACAGAGGAACCACCTCAACAGGTTCCTTTCCATGCTGAGGAGGTGGACAAGGGTCTTGCCCTTGATGCCTTACAGTCACAAATTTGTCATCGATCTTCTTCTTTTGGGCACTACCCAAAACTCATGAGCACAGGTGAGGGTTTGAGAGGTTCACATTATGGCTCAGCTCCTTCTTTAACACAAAAGGCTGGTGAAACATCTCTATTACCGCAGATGCTGCACTCAATATTGTGTTCCATCTCACATCGAAAGACACTTGAACTCTTTCACTTGGGTTAGTGACTCGCTTCCAACCTTAAGGGACCAGTTCACCATTTTCCGGCTTCATGATTTTACACTTGATCCAACAGATTGAATGAAATGAAAATGTGTGTTGGGTATAGTACGTTTTATGGGGTGTGTGATGTGTTAAAAGAAGACCTTAATTCTGCATCATAACCTTGATGAAAAAACTAGCCTGTCCAATATTTTTGCCTTCTTTTGCCAAGTTTGACAACATCTCTGAAAAACTCCCTGAGTCCTGATCCTGGATGTTTGACTTGTATGCGATCAACTTTGCACATCATGCACGTCATCGACCAGATCACTCGTAAGAATCCTGATGACGTGGTTGTCTTTTCAGGAGCCTTCTTTATAGACTGTTCTTCATATGTTTCATGTTGCATTCATATCATATACTTTTGAGTGTTTGGTTCTTCGTGATGAAGGATTCATTATTTGTGGTCAGTACAAGAAACATACCGGCACTTTGCATTTATTGTTTTGTTTGGTTGAACCAAGAGAGAAAAGATGGAGGACAGGTGTTGGGACACATGACTTATTGTTGTGTTAAGATGCAGTATTGTGTGCAAAACAATGAGAAACTGACTTATAATAAAAGTTTTATCAGTAACTTGGGAGTGTGTTCAGTGTATTCTGAGAGGTTGGTTGGAGTGAGAGGGGCGAACACAGAAGAATTCATAAATGGCTCAAGTTTCTCAGATTCTGTTTGCATCCATCAGCTCCTCCTGTGTTGAACTGTGTGTTAATGAAGGAGAATCTTCCAGCTTACCCAACATCCTCAGTGCGATTCCCAAACAGCAGCAGTAGTGTTTAAACCTCGTTTGTTCGGAGGCGTGAGGAGTTCAAGAAGAGGAGGAGACGGGTGAGAGGAGGTCATTAACTCTGTCAACAGGACAAAAGACGACAAAAGACTCGACACAAAGCTGCTGTCACAGCAAACAAAAGTGAACACAACCAAAGAAAAACAAACGACGGATTCGTGGGAAAAGCTGCTCAGTGTAGAAAATCAAAGAAAGGAGATGCTGTGAGCTTTTAATCATCTCAGTCTGAACTCAGGACAGATTGTTTATCAATTAATCACCACATCACCAAATATATCAATATTGGTCCCTAAATAACCACGGATGATCAGTGATGATCGGATCCTTTTGAAAAGATTGTAAAACCCTGTAAAATAGATCTTGAACATCGCTGTGAGCTTCGTCCTCGTGAGTGAAAGGAATGGGAAGTCTACACTCAACCTGGTTACCTTCAGCTCAAACATAACGTTTACTTTTGACTTCATCAGAGGTAAAACTAAAAGAATATAGAAGCAACACAGGTGGATGAACAACGAGGCCACGATGTGTTCCTTCTGCTGCAGAGAGTTTTATTATCATGTACAAACTCTTGACGTTTCCTTTCAATAATAACTCTTTTCACAACAACAAAAACTGTATAATTCAGACACCACATGGATTATTCAAGTGTGAAATAGTTTTTTGCCGCAAAAGAAGAATTAAATGATTAAAATGTTTAACTGGACATCCCCACGGTGTTATATGACACGAGACATGAGAATGCTGATAAATGAGTTTGATTATTGATTAGTAAATATTGATTAAAGAGGTTTAAACTGTGATTAGATCAGCTGATGTTCCAACAGTAACTCTAGAGTAACCTTCTGAAGAAGAGCTTTGATAAAGTTAACTCCAGCTTGTTCTAGGATGCTTTTATTGTGAAACTCTTGACTCTGAAAAAGGAAGCTGTTCCTGTTTAAATCTAAGCTTCCTGTTTCTTTGACCAACGATGCTGATTTATTCTCTTCTCATTCAGCTGCTGCTCAGAGGATCTTTGTCTCTTGCAGGTGTCAGTCTGGTTGACTTTTCAACAGTTGTGTAACGTGGATGGTTTGTGTTTTCATACATTAAGACTCAACCAGGTCCGTCATTTAACCTTCAGCCTCCACCAACATGACTCACTAACTGAGAAGTTCCTCAGTGTCACGAACCTCCTCAGGGGATGTGAACAGGAGGGAGTCCACGCAGATATTCCACTTACAATACTTATCATTTATTAAAACTAAGCCTCACTCTAATGAGCGTTGGAGTGTTTACATCAGTAATGAAAGCAGTGCATGGATGTGTGCTTAATGTGCTGTGGAGTTAAGATAGGATAGGATAGAGGAAACGTGTCTCTAATGCGATTATGCAGAACATAAATAGAGTAAATAAACTAAGGTTCCATTAAGATAAATAAAATATTCCCCTAATGAATAAAGAAATCAAAAACGATAACTGCCAACCACGGTAGTTCCTTAAAAGGTAGTCCTGCTCATTCAGTTGTGGTGGTCATCGGACCAGGAGCAGCCATCCTATCCCGTGTATATGGGGTCCAGGACTCTACAGACCACCTGCTGCAGCACGGTGAGCATTCTGGGGGATCTTCTTCCTCTCCATCAAGGACATCGTTGATTTTGGAGACACAGATTGTGCAGAAATCCGGGACAGAGCTTGGACTGACCTCCAGGACCTCGACTAGTGTGGTCCTTCAGCGTGATTTCATCATCCCAAAAAGCTTGTTCGACGGCATAGTTAGCTCTGGAATGACACCAACTGAACCTGATCAGAACCGGGCCTAATGGTGTAAGGAACTGGTTTCTCCAGACAAGGAAAAAGCATTTTATCCAGAGAGGAACAGTGAGCTGGTGGATACAGTGTCCTGGCAGAGGATGCTGCTCAAATCTCTGGCATCATGAACGGAACCTGCATGAACAATGAAAACACAGAGGATTCTGCCACTTGCATCACATTTATTTGGATGGAGAATAAAAAGCTTATAGTTGATGTAAATTAGCCCTGGTGCTGGTTCTCTGGAGGTTTTGATCCATCAATGGCCCCCAGTAGCATGGGGAAGCAGAGGCTTTTAAACTCAGGTGCTCAAAGCAGGTGCAACGCATCAACAATTAGGACTGAGGAGGAAAGACTGACCCGACAGAACCGACAGACATCTCCATCCTGCCCACTAAACAAGCTTACTGAATAACTCATTTAATATACATTAAAGAGAAACTGCACACTAAACATGTTTTTAAGCTATAAAGTAAACTAAAAGTGACTGTACTTGAGAAATAAAACACATCACTGCTGGTGTCAATATCCGCAGTTTTAGTTGAAAACAGCATTTGCTGTTTCGAATCAGCGAGAAGTGATGCATCCCCTGCTTTATGGTTTATTAGAGACGTGTCAATCCCCTGCTTTATGGTCTGTTTGACTCTAAATGGACCATAATGTACTAAATGAACATCATGCTGTATTGAAGAAGACTTGAAACTAGAGATTGAGACCATAAACTCATGTTTACAATGTTTACTGAGGTAATAAATCAAGAGAGAAGTAGAGTCATTTTCTCATAGACTTCTATACAACCAGAGGAGTCGCCACCCTGCTGGACAGTAGAGAGAATACAGCTTTGACACATGAAGCTTTGACTTCACTTTAAAGAACAGGAGGCTGAATAATATTGAATGAAGTACACCATTGGTATCACTTTAAGGGTACAGAACAGACAGACACAGATACAAATAAAATAACAGCTTTGTGAATCATTCGCTGTACTGTGGTTTTGGGAATCCCAAATCCAGACGTCACTCCAGGGAGGTGAATCCCGAGGGCCAAGCTCTGAAGACGAGCACCTCTATCACCTGGCAACAGCTGTGGTCCTCCGCTGAGGGAACTATTTTTAGCAAATATGCCACACGAGGTCTGAGATCTCTCTTCAGACGTGTCTGGATTTGCATGTGAAGGAAGAATTGGGGCCAGCAGCATTCAGGTGGACAGCACTTTGCCCTCCTGGGAACAAAAAGATAGGACACACTATTGTTAGAATATAATACAATACTAATATCCATAATCTGCTGGAAGGTTCATCCACTTAAGTGATATGTTTATAGATCATATTGCTCAAGCTGGTCTGAGGATCTTCATGTTATTGCTTGAAATTAAAAGAAATTCCTGTTTTGTCAGTGCAAATAACTAAATAAATACATGTATTGGTTTACACACATACATTTATACACATTGTTACATAACGTGTTCAAAGAATTATTCCACCTAAACTCTGCCCACTAATATACAGGAAAGAGGTCAAAACAACCTGAAGAAAACGTTGAAAGTCTTCACTCAGAATGACTCAGAGTAAGCTGATTAATGTCGAGACCTTCAGCTGCTGTCGCATCTCTGAAAACGCTCCGACCCACAGAGGTCGTCATTAAAAAACGTTCAATTAAAGAACAGGTTCAGCAGGTCTAATTACCTCAGCTAACGAGCGCAGGAGACGCCTCCGACTAACGAGGAGTGGCCAATAGGAGGCCGGCAAGCTATAAACAGAAGCTCATTATAATGAGATACTACGTCATGATCGTGAGATAGTATCTCAGTATGACTTACAGGATCTTTATTTTTCCTCAGTGGAGGAAATGGGCGTCCATAGTTCCCCGTCAGAAAGGTAAAGAGGTGAAAATACATTGTTCACTTCAAGGTAGTGTCCACATACTTTTGTGAATATACACATGTCTAATATTTCAGCTAACTGA